TTTTATCTAGAAAATGTATTCTTGCATTTAAGAATGTCTATTGGAAAGTTTAAAAATAATTTAAATAGAACTTGTACTTTATGTGATAATAGTTGTACTTAATGTACCAGTTTAAGTATATGTTAAAGTTGCAATTAAGGATTTTATCTTAATAACTCTATTTGTGTTTAAGAATGCCCTGTTGGGAAGTTTAAAAATAATTCTGATAGAACTTGTACTTCATGTGATAGTAGTTGTTTTTCGTGTACAAGTTTATCTTTATGCTAAAGCTGCAATTAAGGATTTTATCTAGAAAATGTTTCTTGTATTTAAGAATGTCCTATTGGGAAGTTTAAAAATAATCCAGATAGAACTTGTATTTAATGTGATACTAGTTGTTCTTCGTGTACAAGTACAACTTTATGCTAAAGCTGCAATTAAGGATTTTATCTCGATAACTCTATTTGTATTTAAGAATGTCCTATTGGGAAGTTTAAAAATGATTTAAATAGAACTTGTACTTCATGTGATAGTAGTTGTTCTTCATGTACAGGTTTATCTATATGCTAAAGCTGCAATAAATTGTTTTATCTAGATAACTCTTTTTGCGTTAAGCAATGCCCGATTGGTAAATTTAAAAATGATTCTGATAAAACTTGTACTTTATGTGATGTTAGTTGTTCTTCGTGTACAAGCACAACTTTATGCTAAAGTTGCAATTTAAACTTTTTTCTAGATAATTCTTTATGTGTTTCGGAATGTCCGATTGGGAAGTTTAAAAATGATTCTAATAGAACTTGTACTTCATGTGATAGCAAGTGTGAAAATTGTACTAGTTTAACTTTATGCTAAAGCTGTAATTTAGGATTTTTTTTTGATAATTAGAGTTGCTTAATAGATTGTCAATAAGGCAAATATAAAAATGCAAGTAATAGATAATGTTCATTTTGTGACAACAAATGTAAATCATGTGATAATGGTTTGACTTGTAATGGCTGTTTTGGAAATAGAGTTGGAGATTAATGCGATTGTCCTTTGTATTCAATCTTTTCAAATGATTATTAAAAATAATGTTTTGAATGTAAAAATGTGCTTATTGGATGTGGGTAATGCACTATAAATGAATGTATCTCATGCATTCCTGATTTATATTTTGATTTTAATTAATTGAAATAATGTGATTCTTGTTAAGAATTAAATGTTTAAATTATTTTTAGTAACGATTTTGAACTATTATTTGTTAATTTTGATTATTTTAATTTAGGAGTAATAACTAATCTAATTTTGAATAATTCGAATTTGCAAAATGATTAATAAAAATCAAGGTTTTCTTATTTACTTTGTTCAGAAGTTTTAAATTAATAATTTATAACATAAAAATTAAGTAATGATATTGCCTGTTCTTTTATTTAAAATAAGCTTACTATTAGATTAAGTCCTTAAAGCATAATAAACAAAGATGATATAATAGTTATTAAAGAAAATGTATTCAAAATTACATATAAAGGAGTAGAATGTACTTAATTTATTTAAAAAATAAAAGGAAAAATTATTTATGATTAAAATCCTTTAAGTCCTATAATTACAATAAATTCGCCAACTTTAATTTCGAAATGTGATGAATTATTTATTCAAATTAGTTAATTATAAAATATAGGAAAAAGAATTCCTAAAAGTATAAATTGGATATCAATAGCTTCATCTGAAAGTTAATAATTTATAAATTAATTGAATGCATAATTATAATAATAATAAAATAATTTTATATTAGTTATTCCAAGTATGACTTTTAAAGGAAGTAGCTTTTATCAATTCGAAGTATAAATAGAAACTGTTTTTTAACAAAAGTAAAGTGTAGTTATAAATATAAATACAAAAAATGATAAATTTATTGATTTATAATTAGAAAACAGTAAAGATATTGTTTTTAGGTATGAAGAATTCAAACTTAAAGTTATTTTTTATTATCTATAATGCGATCCTATAGAAAAATTAAAAAAAGTGAATGAAAAAATACTATTAAAAATCGAATAAATTATTAATTTGTAAAATAATTTAAATATAAATTTTGAGAATTAAACTATGGATAATGAACATACAATTAATATATAGCCTTATATCTTAGTTTTAGATTAATAATATGACATAAAAATAACTGTCTCTGATGTTAACAATAGTTAAATATTTTAAGAAATTATACACTCATTTTAGGTAAAAAAAAGCCAACAAATAGTAAAAATTTAAGGTTTGAGCAATATTTAATCTTTTTCGAATTCTTTTTATGTAAATGCTTTCATTGATAATTTAGATTTATCTCCAAGTGAAAAAGAAGTATAAAAAAACAATAACTATGGTATTAAAACTAAATGGAAATGTATAACTGCAAAAAGTTAAAGCGATTGTCGGGATTATAAAAATGATTTAATTGTTGACCCTAATATGGAATAAAATATATTGTAAATAAAAGTATAAGAAAAATCTTTAGAAGCCTATAATCTTTATTATTTTATTTTAGAAGGAGAAAAAGATGGTATCGTAGTTTAAGACATATCAAGTTTTATTATTTTGGAATAAAATATACCTCCTTTAAATTCTATTACATCAATAAACGATTTTTCTTAAAGAATAAATTTAAATTAATAAATTTTTGTATAATTAAATTATGAAGGAAAAAATAATTTAGACAATTTATTTTTTAGTGGCGCTGTATTGTATTAAAACGATGTGAAAAATACTATAAAGTTTTTTCATAATTAAGTAAGATTTTAAACATGGAATTATTTTAATGATTTTATAAATGAAGAAGAAAATTCTTATTAAATAAGATTTGCAGTTTTTGATCCTTAGTATATAATGCCTTCTTTAATTATTTTTTCTTTAAAAGCTAATTTGCCGCCTTTAAATTGCCTTTTTTAAAATTTTAATAATTAATAATAAGAAATTTTTAGTTTAAAATAAAATTATGTTTTCTAAATTAATAACTGCTAAGATTAAGATTAGCCTCTATATTATAATTTCTTTTATTATAAAAGTTAAGAAGATTTTTAATATGAAATTTTAAATCCGCAATTTACTAAGAGATATGCTCTAAATGTAAAATCTACTATCAGTAGAATATCAACGATTTTGCCGTTCGGGGCAAAAGTAATCATAGGCTGTGTATTTGATAATTTGGGTGCGGTTAGAAATATGACTTAAAATGTTGAAATAAAAAATTCTTATGAAAACGTTTAATAATATGTTTATTTAGTACAAGAAACTTACAAAATAATTATTTAAATACCTTTTAAATAACAAATAGTTATTTAACTATGTATTCTTGTTTAAGATATTGTTTCCAATATATTAATAAACGAAGAGCTAAAATAAGATTAAAATTTAATTAAAATTGTCAAAAATATTTACGAAGATTTACTTTTTTAATAATAAAAATTTAATGATAATCAAGATGTTTAAGTCTAAATATAAATGACAATTAACTTAATTTCTTAAAACTTATTAGATTAAATAATGAATATTTTAAAATACAAAGATATATTAGATTATTTATCGAAAATAGAATAAACTTTAATTGAATAAGAAATATATAAAAAAATATAAGCTAAAGACGTTTAGTAATATTAATAATATTTTCGTCTATATAATTAGTTTTATATAAGTTTCTAGTATATAAAGTATTCAAAAAATAGACAGAGGGAAATTTTCGGATGAAGAAAATATTTTTTTAGATAAATAATATGTCGGTTTAATCTAACTTTCATCAGAAATTTTAAATCTCAATGTTATTCCTAACGAGTCTTAGATTTCTTAAAAAAATATAGTTAAATCTTAAAAAGTAAGCTTTAAGTTTTTAAAATAAAATTACTTGACTAATTCTTATGAAAATAATGAATAATAATAAAATTAAGATGATTTTAATGATAATGAATAAAATTATGAAAGTTATAGATGGAGAAGGCTAAGAAAAAATTACTTATGATGTATAAATAAGAAAGTATCCTGCTAATATAGTTAAATATGATAAAAGTTTTCCTTATCCAGATAAATAATTATTTTAAGTATTTGATAATTAAATAACTTATTAAACTGTTAATAAATAGACAAATGAAATATAAAAATAACCTATTAATACTTAAATTGCTAATACATTCACTCTTCCTAATCCTTCGAATTCTACAACTGGGTTTTCGTGTTTAACTTAAATTAATAATAAATGGGAATAAGGAAACTGTAATAAAGTTTAATAAATAAATAAAAAGAAATTAGTATCTTCAGTTATATGTTAATGTAAAAAATAGGGAAAATAAACACTAGTGGATGATATAGAAAGCATTTTTACGGATAATCAGAATTTAAAAAATATGTTTAGTGAATAAGGAATTGAAAATTTAAAAAATTTAGCGAATGGTATAAATATGCAACTATATGGATTATTTTTATATCGAATTAATTCTACATTATATTTTTAGTTTATTTGAGATAAAAAGATAATGCCGCTATCGTTAAAAAAAAATTACTGATTTAATAAAATAAGATTATATTAAAAAAAGTTCTTTGTACTTTAAAAATTTAGGTTTTTTTTTAACATATAATTATTATTTTTAACATATATTATAAAGCATAAATTTAAAGTGAAATTGGATAAGAATTATATTTAAATGATTTATCTCTTAAATAAAACAATAATATTCAAGAAAATAAATAAGAGATTTAAACAAAATAGAATTAATATGATTTTGAATATATTAAATAATAATTATAATTTAATAAATAATGTTTATAAATTAAAAATAACTATATATAAGGATAAGAAATTAAATCTTCTTAAAGTAATATTAATATAGAAAATATAAATAAATAAGATTAGAACACATAATGCACTACTAAAATAATGGATTTTTTAAAGAATGAATAATTTTCACAATAAAGTAATAAAATATTTATTTGTAAATTATATAAATAGGAATAGATAATTAACGTATACGTACTTTATTACCAATAAAAAGAATCCAGTACAAAGGAAACAAATAACCATAAGAAGATAATTAAAACTAAACCAAATTTAATTTAAAAAATCATTAACAATTATAGAGCACAGACCAAAGCCATATTTAATCAATATATTTAATAAAATCTTAATTATGTAACTCAAAATAAAAGTTACGATTAAATTTAGAAACTTCTTTCATGCATGAAGAATAAAAAAAAATATAAAGAAATTCAAAAAATTCTGTAATAATGTTGAATGATTTTAATACACCAAATAAGAAATCTTAAACACTTTGTTTGTAAAAAAATAAAAATAAAAATAAGATTTTTGATACAACCTCATTATAATAAAATTAAAATGATAACAAAAATATGCATAAAAAAATCTCAGGGTTGGATTAAATAAATGTTTTAATCGGAATATTAAAAATGCATGAAATTTATTTAATTTTCTTTATGTATGATGAAGATATTTCAAGATCTCTAAGATTAACGATTTATTATTTTAAAATAATTTTTTGTTTAGCTGCTAATACTATTTTTGTTTATAATTATAGTTAATTCTAATAATTAATTATAAATTTAATTCTATCAGTAATTTTAAATATTGTTTGTTTTGTAATTAATAAGCTTTTTTCCGCAAAAAGTATAATACTTCAATATTTAGGAATTTTAATATGTTTATGTTCTTTATGTTTTT